CTACTGTATATACCTAACAAAATTAATTTTTTAGAAAACAAAGTTTTTTTAATATATGTATATGTACTGCTTTTTTTTTTAATAGATAATATCTAATGTATTTCTAATAATACATAATACAAACCTAAATAATTAATCAATTAATTAATAGTAGTTTATCTCTCAACATTAAAATTAAAAAAAAATATGTTTAAGCAATAAAAATAACATATAAAATCACCAAAAATTTAAGTATTAAGAGATAAAAATACAGGTTTTATCCATTCTGATTTAAAATCGTTTTTCTAACTTTTAGATTTTTTAAACATTACTTGTTTGCATTAGAAGTGTATATTCAGTTTCTATTTTAACATTGTTTGATCTTGAATAAACATTACGCAATAGTTGTTAAACTTGTTTTAGCTGTTTGGAATTTCACTATTCAAACGCAAACCGCAAACACTTCAGGTAAAATCGGAAATATTTCGGCAAATATTTCGCAATATAACAATATATAAATTATATATTATGTTGTAAAATATTGTAATAATTTGTTGAAAATAGAAGATTGCAAATTAGAAATCCGAATTTATTTAGAATCTAACTTTTCATACATCTTATTTATAACGAATATTAACTTATATTTTTCATGTCTATTTTTTTACACCAGATTAAATAAAAATTTACTTCCTTCAATTTAATTCCTTCAATTTTTCTTAAAATTCTTTGTCCTGACACAAACATGAAAAACAGAAAAAGCTTTCGTTTCTGACACATGTCGAATTTTTGGTACTCAAAAGAATACGTGATATGCATATGCGTATATACGAGCGTGAAGATACAATTGGAGTGTGCGCGACAGAAAATCGAACGCCAACGGATTTTTCTCATTCGATGTCGGTCTTCAAATGTCGCCGCATGTTTTGCATCCGGCAATCGAGACACAATCTCGGTTGCGGAGCCTGCTCTTGGCAAAACAATAGTTTCGATCCGGTAATCTCAAACTGTGTTTTAATCTGAAAGAACATCAGGCACGCCGTTGATTGCATTGCACAGTAATCTTAGTTTTTATCGCGTTCCGAGATTGGTAGAGGTGTCGGCGGAAGGGGTTGTTACGTGCACCCCACCGCTATAGATATCGGGGTCAGGCTGGTGCGACCTGCATTATACACGCCATCACGTATAATCTCGAGAAGAGTAAGAGTGCGCGGACACGGTCGACAAGAAAAAAAAAACATCCGCGCAATATTCCGACCTCCTGTCATCGGTCGTTTGATATACTGACTGCACGAAGCGTAAACAACGATCACATTTACCGGAATTTCTTATACACGGTCTCATTCATCATAGAAGTTTTCGAAATACGCTGCAATATCGTTTCTCGATAAACATAGGAGTAAAATTTTTTGCCATCTATTTGTTTCCTATATTTATTGTAATACAATAATACCTCTGTAAAATAATTGAATCCTAAAAAGTAAAATTTTAAAAATTATTATAATTATAATCGTTGCTTTATTATAAGAAACAATCAGTTATCTTACATTAAACATAAAACCCATTTAATACGAACTATCAGGTTTAATTCATTAAAATACGCCATCAACTTACTAAAATTCACAACGTTAAAAATATTCCACGTTTGTTGTGTTCGATATGGAATACCATATCGATATTTAGCGGAACAAAAAATATTGAGAAAGAATATCGTTTGCGATAACAGAAACCATAAAAAAATTCGATATCAACAACTGACTATGTCAATCGATTCGCTGTTTTAATTAATAACCTGGAAAAGATAGTACATAAACCGAATGTGGCCGGATTGGAAAAAACTTTTATATTGCAAAAACAGAACGTCGACGTTGGCTTATAACAGCGCTGTTATGCCGTTGCCGATTCAACAACATAGTGCATATATATCTACCGGATTTCGTCACGGCTTCCTTCAATCTTCGAGGCAATATCTAGGGCCTGTTTGTGTGCCTCTTGGTTAACAAACTGCAGGTGTGCTATATTTATCACTATCCTCACCCTTCGTCAGCAATAATAATTAATTACCCTAGAAGACCTTTTAAGTCGTTGGCCACGACGCGACGCAATTATCGCGAACAGCCTCATAATGACGCAAAATTTATGCATTGTAACAAACTTACGGTACAACGACGCTATTAAATCACACGTAATGCACGACCTTTTCTTTAGGTCTCCCGATAGCGAGGTCTACCGATTTTCGCAAAAATTGCGTCCTATGTAGAACGAATCGATACGACGCTGCCACTTTCAATATTACTACAGTCATTTTTTACTTGATGGATGTTCCCTTAGCAAGTCGAAGCTAGTTTATAATATTAGCAAGTCGAAGTTTATAATACTTCTAAAAATAAGTTTTTTTTTTTTTCAAAAGCTCTCTATAGATCTTTTCTGTAACTCTGTAATTTTTAATTGCTCGGAATTATTATAAACGTAGAAAGTTCAACAGATTGTTTAGTTAAACAATCTGTTAAATATTAAATCATGGAAAACTTATTTCATATATTATAAAAAATAATATACAATTATAATAAAATAAGAAAATATAGTTCATAGATTCATAAGCTTTTAATTCCTGAATGCAATCTTAATTAATTTTAAATTGCGATTATTTGTGTAGTATCTCACGTGTATCGTCTTCAAACTTATGAAACACATTAGCAACAATGTTCAGAGTAATCGATGCCAGCATAAATTCTAGAATGCTGTGATATTAGTGGAATAATAACGTTAGGTTCTTCGTCTATCGATTATGAAACTACAGCAAACAGTTCAGGCGAAATCTCAGCCACCCTGTTCTCGAAAATTGCACTGTTAGGAAATAGTAAATGAGAATCGATAGTTTCATCAAACTTTCGGTATGAAAAAGGAATGCTGCGGCGCAGCGGAGTCGCTCATATTGAAACCGATATGAAGACGTCGTTCACAAAAATAAAGTACGCAGATTCGCAGTGATGAATCAATCAGATTACGCAGTTTGCGAGCACAAATTGAAGTGTGCACGATAGAAATCAAGGAACATAAATGCTCTGCTTATCAATCGGAGATATGTAGTTAAAGCTGCATTGAACAGCATTGTATAATGTAGCCATGTAAAATCCTCGAGATAAAAACGTGGTTTAAACGGAACACACACGAATAAAAACATGTCGGGTTTTCGATGCGGAATTAATGGTTTCATAGATAATGAATGAAAATTACGCTTATAAGCACACCGATTGGTTCTCGAGGCTAGCTGGAAAAAATGCGAGAACATCGTATCGCGGATTCGATGGTCGAATTAAAAATTCAGTGAGAGTTGTGAATTGATTGCTCTTAGTTCAGTTTTATGATCATACAAAATTTAACGAAAAGTTAAATCATTTATAACATCTCACATTTCGAAATGTCGATTAATTGCATACAATTATGAATAGTATTTTGCATAAATTAAACTGAATAATTAAAGCAACGAAATTCAGAATAATTGGAAAGGCTATCTAGGTTGAAATGGGAGGAAAGCTGCTTCCTCATTATTATTAATTAAAATAGCACAATAATAGATTTAATCTATGAGAAACAGTTTTGTATATATAATTTAAATAAAATAAAATATTTCTCTTCTATAAAGCCTGTATTGGCTACGTTTACATCGTGCATTTAAGCCGCGGTCTATACAATAGATGTCCTTGTTTATCTTGTAGATTAAACAAAGACATCAATTGTATAGGTTGCGGACTAAGCGCACGGTGTAAACGTAGCCATTAAGTATTTAATATGTACTAATTTTGTTAAATTAAGTATAACTAATACGACACATATATAATTAATGCAGAGTTCTAGATGGAATTAAAATAGAACGAAGTCTATTTATATACAGCATTAAAAAGAATATTAATTATTGATTTTATTTCATCTCATGAATTGTAATTTACTTTCTTGTACTCTGACAAATGGAAAAATGGAAAGATGGAAAAGTAATTCAATAAGAAAAATTGTGGCAAAAAGACATCCTATCTTTCGGAACAGTGCATACGCATTACTCGTCACTCTCTTGGACGAGCTCATTCGCCTACTGTCTGGTTCTATTCGTTACTCTTTCGCGAATATTTTATTGCTACCATTTCTCGACTTCAGTGAAAGGCTAGAATACTCGTTAATTACATACAGTCCCATTACGCTACGCTTTCATTTGCATGATAATTCTACTCTACGATGATTATTGGAAACAGAACGAAGCTGACAAGAGCATCTTCTCATCTTTATAAAAACAGAATGAAAATCTCTCATAAGTTACTGCAATTTTAATGCACCTTGAGATCGCATACATTGAAAATTTCTTGTATTTTTAATTATATGTTCCTCTCATCAAAAAGTACTTTAAAAGTATACGTAAAGAAATTAAAAATTTATTTATTATTTAATTGTTTTTATATATAGAAATTTAATCGTTTTTATATAGAATAATAAGATATTTCGACGTGTATTCAGTAAAATAATGGTTGTTTCACGATTATTATTTACGGTACATAGTGCTGCATGGAAAGCCTTGAAAATATCGAAACCTCTATTGCAGTTGTAAATTGTTTATTAATTTCACCGACGTTATGAATGCACAAACTTTAATTGATGAAGGATGATGGGTCATGTAACATTGCGCGAATTGGATCCATTAATAATCACACGAAAAAGTGAACAGGTATGTGGACGCTGCTACAATTCGATGTAAAAGATTTAATTTCTGATATAATAGCGTGTATTCCTCTAGCGATAGCTACAATTTTATAATAACATTAGTTCCACTGTAATAATATCTCGTGCAATATTCTGTATGCTATATCGTTAAAAAATCCCCGTTAATAAAGATAAAAATGCGCGTTTATTGAATTAAAACGCGAACAAGAAAACTAATAGCACTTTCGATCTCAACGACAGAAGAGATCAGCGGACCGATGAATATGTGGTATAACGCAGTAGTAATCAAGTCCATTGTGAAGGCAACTACTCACCGGTTTTCACAGTTGGAGACGCCGATGGTTGTGCGTACAAAGCCTGCGTGCCTCCCAGAAGCGCCAGGATGACGCGAAAAAACTTCATACTGGTCATTGTGAATAGCTATTCCATGGAAATCCTGAAATGCATAGGAGTAACGATTTTCTTTACTTTCCGTGAGTGACAGAATCATATCTGATTAATGTAAACCAAAACCGAAAACAGTTTTAATTAAAACGACAATGACAGATGGAGAAGAGAGCAATAAAACAAATAGATAATTCATTTATCTTTTATAATTAATTTTGTTAGAAATACCTCTCATCATACATATGTCTAATATTTATATAATATGAAATATGATATTTTAATATGGTATTCCATTAATAAACATATTTACAATGTTATTTAATTTTCCATTATAACATTCAGTAATAAAATTGTCTCTTTCGAACGGACGACTATTCCGTTTTTTCTTAGTAATTATATTTTATATGTTTACATGTTTATGTTTTATACATGTTTAAATAATTCTTTTGTAATCCCGCTACAAGAAAAAATAGATAGATAGATGAACTTGTTCATCCGCGGTTTTTCGTCCCGGCACAATCCATTCGAGATAGATCGACTTTGTCATAATCCACATCAAGCGAAAACACCGTCGCGCGCAGGAACGTGTCGACTTCTCGTTTTCCCACGCCATATCGCCGCGAGGAAAAAGTGAAGCAACGATAATATCGTCTAACCGCGAAATGAGATTCTGATACCGAAATTTGATCACGTGTTTTCACTGCGAGAGAGTAATAAAGGTGTGTCGCGATGGTGAATGAAAGCGAGCGTGAATCGCAGATGTTAATTTATCGGAAATTAACATGCTACGAGAAGAAATTAATATAGCGTTAGAAATACCTTCATGTCGTTTACAGCCTCACAGAACAGGAGATAGGATGAGAATTTTAAATAGATTTGCCCGGGTGAAAAAATATTCGTCGTCATCTGTTCTCCTGCGGGGCTTATCGCGGCTAAGATAACGATGAGCCCAGAGCCGGGGTGGGCTCTGCAAACGACTAAGGCACATTGATGGTCGCCGTTAAGAGGATGGAGGAAGAAACCCGTAGCTGGTGGCTAGATGGATCCCCTCGTCGGTCGAGGGTGGGAGATACCGGGGCATTGTATGTCTCTCCAACCACCGGCGCACAGCCACCGTACCATCGACTCTCGGATTCGCGCGAGCTGATCCACAGAATAGCTAGATCGTAGATAAGTAGTGATCTTGCCTCTCGGTTCAGGAACGTCAGCCCGATCCGGCTTAAAGCGACAGAAGTCGAGTGGCGAGACTTCGAGCGTGAATTCATGTTGGGAGAACGTGGTTTTGCGTGTCGGTATCTGCTAGAAAACGGGCCAACCGATTGATTTGGAGAATGCTCTTCAATGGATTTGACGTCTAAACACTTACAGGGACTTTCCACTCGATGTTAAACATTATAATGATAAAAAATAACGATAAAGAATTGAATATTTGTTTTCAGTAATTTATAAATATTGGGATAGTTTAAATATTAGAAATAAAATTTATTATACAATAATTATTTGCAATAATTTTGTAAACTAATTTTAACTTTTCATTAAAATATAACGATTAATATTCTTGTAAAAGATGCTTATTAACATTTGAAAAATTATTAAATTGCTTGTACAATTTAATAGGTGATATTACTATTCTAATTCTTCTCATGAGTGCGTTTTAAGATCGAAAAAAATTTCGACGGTATGAGAGTCAAAATGTATATAAATTTACATAAGAAATATGTATTTAAGCATTAAGATCCATTTTGACCGAATATAGAACTTCTCTCATTCAATTAAATTTATTCTCATCAGACTAAATTCGTGATATATTGTTAATAATTATTTGCATGTATAATAATGTCATATCTTTAAATAATAGTTTTATTTTAGAAAAAGAAAGATCATATATTTTATGTACCTGCTTCTGTGTAAAACTCAATTAAAATTAAAATTAAAATTAAAAAAAGTTCATTTGCTATTTCAACGTTTGGAATATAATGAAATAATTCTACGCATATTTGATAACGAAATAAAATATTTTAAAATTACAAATTTTGTTATATATTATTCTTCAAGTTATGAGAATATTAATAAGCATACGTGAAATACATACGTATTAATTATATGAGTAAATTCCTTCGGATAAAAGCACATTTAATTCGCCAAAAATATATTAAAGAGAAGTAATTATATATTCACGATTAATTCACTGATCAATTACTCATATGATATTCTCTCTTCATTAACGGTATGATTCATCATACCGCCTACATATTACATTCAAATCTCATTACTTTAATAGGAATTAAACTCTTAATGATCACACTACATATGCTGCAATACTCCATACATGTAAGACAATAAATTACCATTCCTCTATTTCACCTTCCTCTAGTAGATCGCAAATCGTCTAAATCTACCGACCGCTCGGCCGTATCAGGAACTCATTCCGCAGAGAGACGATTTCCACTCTTCCGGCGCGCGAACCTCGAGGAAAAAATGACGTAGACGAAGCACCGGCAAACTTCGTAAAATACGAGTGCAACCGGCATCACGATGCACTTCATGCATCGCTGTGGGCGTCTGCATTCGTGACGGATCTACTCGACGAGCGATCCGAGCAGGAGTTTCACACACGGTCGACGAACGCGTGTCGGCGATTTATCGCGTTTATATACATGTTCCCGGCTTGTATCGTGTGTGCTCGAGTCGTAGGAAAGCGTACACCTGCAGTAAATAGAGGCAATGCACGGAATCACCTCGAGCGCTACCACTCACTCACCATCGAATGTGATGAAACCCCCTGGTCGCATATGATGGAGCTCTTTATGCTACCTAGTTTCTTTATGCTATCAACTGTGTTAATTATATTAGCTATTGTTATTTATTTACAATTATTTTTATATTGCAGAAGAGAATTCGAGCGCATCCAATATTTGTGACATATAAAATGTCAAAATTACGCAGAATTTATTTTCAATTAATGTTTTCCTTATTTATGTTTTCCTTCCTTCATCTCATTATTCTGTTCATAAAAGTATTAAGGTACGATTATTAAAAAATTAATAGTTTATGAATCATTTAATATTTTATGTCAATATATGCCAGAATAAAGTATAAAATATCTCGTAAATTATTGATTTTTTGATATCTCTATTTTAATACTTTTATATGCAGAATAATTAGAGGAATCATATTGTGTAAAAAAATTATACAATTCCATTTAAAAAAATGGAGACGACCTTCAAATTTTTTGGCGTCTCCACCTAGAAGAAAGACAACATAATCAAAATACGTCTCCCTTGAAATCGTTCCACTCTCATTTGAAACATATTTTCCTATCTCCAAAACTGTGGACGTTATTCGGGTGGCCGGTCTTGAGTACTCACCCTGTATATATATGGTGTAGTGACATATTTAAGGATTAATTGGAAATAAATTTTGTGTAATTTTATGATGTCATAAATATTGCATGCGCTGGCGTTCTGCCATCCAACCCACTTTGATTGCTTACATATTTCAAAAATGAATGTATTGTAAAAAAATTTTTCAATCTAAATATCAAACATTAAGGAATATAACGATACCAAACAAACGTATGTATTTATATTAATAAAAAAAAGTTATAAACAATGGAAAAAATATCAGAAAAACATTGAAAAAAAGCCGAGTATGCCATATCGAAAAAGCATTTAAAGAAAAAAAAATTTGCAGAGATAAATATAGTTGTAGTAATTTATGAAAAAATTGATAGATTAATTTTTAAGACGTATGAATAATTTATTTTTAAATTAAAATAAGCAATATAACTATTGTACATAGAAGTATAATATATCGTTCATTATATTCATTATATCCACACATATTCCGTAGATATGTTCCTTCATTTTTTCCTTATTATGGTCTTAATTATAACAAATGTATAGTTAAAAGAGATAGAAATCGATCGATGATGAAAGATTTGTAAATAATAGGTATAACCGGACTTCATTTATGTACCGGCTTCGAGAAAAATCGACTAGGAATGAAGTCGACACGGGACTATAAATCAGCAAAATGGATAAAAAATTATGCGATAAAGTACTCTCGTTTTACTTTAGACGGAAAATCGCCTTTCTGAACAGAAAAATTTTGCATTTCCTCGTTGCTTACCTTGCAAAAGCGGAAACATTTCAACGTTGTGGTCTTAGGATAAAGAATATCTTCCTATTAAAAAGTTATATTTTATTTATTTATGCTGATGCATAAATAATGGTTGATTTCCAATCTAGATTACGTTTTGGTAAACATTGGTTGCACAGAAATAACATGTAAATATATACGTTCATTTTGTTAATAATGTCTCTTTAACTTTGTCGTATTAAAATTACATTTATATTACTTCTTCTTTGCTTTAGCTCTTATTAAACATACTTTAATAAGATTTCTGTATGTAAAGGACAATTTTACTGACAAATCTAAAAATTTAGCTAGATACAGATCTGAAAATAATTTTCTTGTATCATCAAAATATAATAATTACGTAGCAATCTCAAGCATAATGAACAAAAAATTTTGATGCTATAAAAAATTTTGATATTCTAGCAATCATCAGTTTGAATGTCCTAAGTAGTGAATTATTTTAAGGTGGTTGTATCGTAAAATGACTTTTCTTAAGATTTGTTTGAAGCTTTTACTATTTAAAGATAATGATATTCTCTATACATACGTATCATTTTGAAGGGGGGGGGGGGTAATCAGGCATGTTCAAAAGATAATTGCATTTGAAGTTGGTATTTTTTAACATGTGCTAGACAAGGAGTTCCCTGTGTTAGATAAGGAACAACAGTACATTTTCAATTATAGCACAGAAACAGTATTTAGAAATTCGCTCAAAAATTAAAGAGCTATAGATAAATATAATACGAATTTTCTAAACCGAAGAAAATGGGGGGGACGGTAACCACAGGCAAATATTAATTATAAAACCTTAGAAAGTTACTTTACTACTTCACTAATATCCACTTCGCTTATCAATTCATTCTCAAATACCGGCGCACAGTGGGGAAATAAAAATTACTGTGGAAAAAT